CGCCTCACACGGCCACTCTGAGAGACCGCGACTCAATGAGGCAGATCAGGGCCGAGGTAGAACAACAACTGCAGCTTTAATGAACAAAGGCACAGTACAGTATCACGCATTGGCTGATTTGTGTGTTCTAACATCTAAAATCATATTGCAGGTCACCGAGTTGCCAGGGATGGTTCGAGATCTGGCTAACGGCACTTTGACGTGGGCTGAGGTGGAGAGCAAGTACCCCATCTTTGAAGGACAAGAGACCAGCAAGAAGGAGTAAACAACCTGGGACCAAATAAAGATTTCACAATGTTTTGACAAAAAAAGCTTATTATCCTTATGAATTTTGTATTTTAATATACAGAAAAAATATTTTCTTTAAGTAGGTATTGTTTATGATGTCATGATGGAGGATTTGAAGGTGAAGGAAAGCTCAACCACTCACAAACAAGCTGGATACCTCCAGTTCTCTGTGGCCTATTACTGTTACCTGAGCAACTCTCTTAACAAGTCCCAACAGATGTGTAGTGCTGATACTGTGAAAGTAGAAAACATAGATACAGCCAGGTATGGACTTGTGTTTCATTCGTCTGTTTTAATACTGTATACCTCAGTTAACCTTTCAAAATAAACCACTCACACCATACAGTTATTTCCTTGTGTTACTGTATCTCACTGCATTGTATTTTGTGTTGCTGTCACTAGACGGCACTGCACGTTGTCTCACAGTTCATTGTAGAATGTGAGAGGCATGGATGTTTGGCTGTGGCTCAAAATTGCAACAGGCTTAGACCCTCTCAAAACAGACCTGGCAACCAGGAATATGGAAAATAGCAACAGGAGAAAAGAGACAGCGTGTGTTTTAATTTGAAAATGCAATTATTATTATCACAGAGCATGTATCATGTGTGTCAAACAAGGACAATGCAGACATAAGCAAATGCAACATTACATTTTCATGGTCAGTGCATGCTCTTTTTAACAAATTTGATGTTAAATAATATTTATCCCACTGAAGACAGACTCTACTCTGCACATAATAAACCGTCATAGCTACAGGAAGTGGCTTTAAGTAGGTTTACCCTCTGCTGCGTCGGAAGTGGATGGTAGAGCAAGTTAAAAAATGCAAAAGATAACTGGGACTCCTCATGTTGTGAGGCTTACAGTCTGTTAGCAGTCCCCCTGTCCCGCCCCCTCTGTGTCAGTGATCAAAGTATAAATACATCATGTCACCTTTACCCGGCGGCAGCTCCCTCTCAGGGAGTCAGAGGGACCCGCAGCCCACCCTGCGCTCTGCAGATGCATAACACATGTACAAGTTTACACTTTCTCACCTGTTTTCTTTTGTAATATGACTTTTTAATCTTCCCCCCCCCCCTTTTAACTTTTTTTTTGTTGAGGTGCGTTTTTAAAGCAACTTTCTTCGGCTCCGCAACTGCTGCGTTCAAGGTCAGTATCAGAACAGGTGCTGCTGGAGGACAAACTGAA